GACATGTTTCAGCAGTGTCTCAGAGTGGACGGACATGTTTCAGCTGTGTCTCAGAGTGGACAGACATCTTTCAGCTGTGTCTCTGAGTCGACGGACATGTTTCAGCTGTTTCTCTGAGTGGATGTTAGATTATGAGTTGAAATATTAAAAAAGGGCATACAGAAAGATTACAAATATGGAATAAGCATAAGGACACATAAAACAGGACACGCGTTAAGAAAAAAAATGGACACATTAGGTGTAAGGTAAAACATGGAAATGTCACTTAAAAAGGCTACACAGTAAATTGTCCATAAAATTCAGAGAATGTCCTGACCATTACATTTTTTATTGATTGGACAGACGTGTTCCTCAACACCAAAATAGATTTTTCCCATATTTTACCAATTTATTCAGTTAATTTGTTGTAAATTTATCCATATCTAATTTGGATTATTCTGTATATTCATTGTATATTTTCTGGTTAAAAAAAAAAACATTTTTGCCATCATAAAATAAACTCTGTACTTTATCAGTATGTTTTATGTTTACATATATTTGTTATTTTGTTCTAGTGAAAGACATTTTGAGAAAAAACAAGACAACTGTAGATGTATTAGCTTATTTTGAACAATTTTCTGCTGCATTATTTATTAAGTACACATAAGGAGGCTAAAGAATGCAACAAGGATGCATATAATACACCGAAATACAAAGGATGCATAACACTAAAACAATCAAAAATGGAGATGAAAAAGGATGCATAATGAAACATGGGAAGACAAGAAAGATTATTAAGGAGGCTAAAATAATGCACAAAAATACTTTAAAGACAAAATTAATATACACTTAGACAAAACAACGACTCAAGGAGACAAAATAGACATAAAAAGACCAAAAGAACCACGTGGGGACACAATATGCTGTTATAGATTTAAAAGAGAACGACATTTGTGAAAGATTTACTGCATTTTATTGAAAAAAGCAATTATAGTTAAATAATTCTAAAGGTATAAATGTTACAAAAGTCAACAATCATGGCTGTGATGTCCTGAATGAGACCCGATTAGCTGAAATACAAACAACTTTACATTTTACAGTCTAAAGACTGTGAGGAAGAAGCCACAAAGATGAAACAGTGCGAGTGCTGAGTCAGCATCTTTAAGGACAGCAGAAGGCTTCTCATGACATAACAAAAAACAGACAAAAAAGAGACTGGAAAAAAAAAGCTCTTGTCTGCTGGATGTGCACCAGCCTCCAGTCACTGTGAGGCTGTCTCCACCTGCTGGTGGTGTGAAAGGAAAATCCGAAACCATGTCTGATCCTTTCAAATCAAATCTCAATCAATAGGTTTTGATTCGATTGGTAGCTTGTAATCCAGTATGACGACGACCACATGGATGAAGCATCCCTGTGACTGTGCCTTCACCCCTTTGATGGCCCATAAAGCCCATTCAGGAGCTAATCCACTGGTTCACTTCACTGGAGCTGTCGATGAGCCTCTGCATTAAAACACCCCACTCAGTCCATCAGGAATGCTGGAGCCCGTACGGTAAATCATGAGGAACATGATGTCAGGCAGCCATCCCTCAGGGAAAAGACATTATATACAGACGATACATTACAGCAGGGTACAGTCTTTTTTTTTTTTAAACTAAAGGCCGAGCACGCCTTGAAGGAATGCATCGCCCTCTGACTTTTGTTTTATGGTTTAAAGCTGCTTTGGTCAATTTGTAAATGATGGTATGCACAATCTCATGCAATACTACGAGTATTTATTGCTAATGACGATCAAAATCTACCAAGGTCTCACAGGTCTCTCTTGTCAATGAGTCCCCGAGGCTCAATGAGACTAACTTGTATAAATAAAGGATGAATGAAAAAAAAAAAATCTACCAAATCAAACGTCAATAAATGCTGACCGTCAATAAATCGGCTGAGGCCGATTAGCTGCAGCAGCCATCTTAAATTGGGCGGACACCGAAAATTCACCGGTTCTAGATTTACATTAAATCATTGCTTTCTGAGTTTGTCAAAAATCACATAGTTCATGAGATATTTTCCTAACAGAGTTTATGCTAATAGTTATTGCCCGCATTTTGAGCTAACATGTTGCAAAACAAGTAGTGCTTGGAGTTTAAGTTAGGAGAGACTCTCAGCTACTACCACACGAAAATTCTGATATCCGGAACACTGGTTAAATTATAGACATTTTTTATGTATTCAAAGTTTCGTAGACAGTAGCAGCCATCTTATACCTAAAAGTTATTGAATTGCAGATGTTTTGAATTTAAACCTTTTCGGCTGTTCATAAGATATTTTGCAAACAAACAGTCAGAGCTATGTAGTGTTTAATCAAATACTTTCATGTTAGCTGGGTATGACTCTCGGCTAATACCAAACCCAATTTTAGCTCTATAGCTGTAGATTTAGCTGAGTTAAAGCTATTTCTGTGATCTATAGCTTTGCTGTGCTGTGGCGGCCATCTTACATCGGACTCCAGAGTTAATGATCTGTGGAGGAACATCTAATAAACACATTCTAAAAATTCCCTTTGAAATCTATCCAGTGGATCTCGAGATATTTTGCTCACGCTACAGACAAATTAGCACTAACTCCCACAGACATGGACAAAACCGTGATTTTCACTTCCCTTTCGAAGGATAATAAAAAAGACTTCTGAGTTTTGTTGAATGGGTACGCCTCAGGTTGGTGCCCACGGTTATTTTCCCGGAGAACGTGATTGGAAAAGACAAAGAATGGGAACAATAAGCGTGGGCTCCTGCTATTATCCCGGGATAATTGTCTGCTTCCAAAACGATGAGTCTGCTGTTCGGAAGTCTCTAAAGGGAAGCCTGCCAGCCAGCAGGAGGCTCTGTCTGGTGATTTATTAAAAAACAATCAATACATGATATTAATTTAGCAAATGAACGTCAGAATGATGCAATCCTCGAGTCATCTGACATCAGAAATGTGCTTCATGGCACGGGGTCAGGAGTTGTGTCCCGGTGGAGGAACAGTGGGAGAAAAGTGGTCAGAGTCAGGAGCTGTGGGACTGCAGCTCCCAGTGGGACTCAACAAATTACTGCTGAGAAGATGGACCGAGGCACGTCAGGAAATTTATTTTCTAAAAACATTCAATTGTTTTTCGCCATTAAAGAAAACTAGAGATGGAAATATCCTGATGCGTGCTCAATAATCCAGGTAGAAAAATCTAAAAAAAAAAGTTAAATCTGGTCCTTTGGACATTCAAAATAAAAAGTTTTTTTTTTTTGAAAGAGAACCAGTTTTAACTTTTTAGATAGAGATGGGAATATTATTTTTACCAATGAGGCAAATCCCTTTGAACTCACAGATGGTCTGAAGGCAGCCTAACATGCATGTCTTTGGACAGTGGAGGAAACCAGAGTACCGGGAGAAAACCCACGAGGAGATCCACACAGATACCTAGGTCCAAACAGGGAATGGACCTGGACATTCTTACTGTAAGGCATTAGTACTAAACACCCAAATTATTGGATGAACTTGTAAAAAATGACTAACTCTTCTTTATAATCTACTAATTTAAAGTTAAAACAGCCTACAGAACTTGAACCC